GTGGAGATCCGCGAGAAGAAGAAGCTCGCGGAGCGCCTGGAGGAGAAGGCCAAGGCTCTCGCTGCGAAGGCCCTGCCCGACGCATACTATATTCGAGGACATGTCAGACAGCAGCGCAACTGAGCACTGAATTACATGCACTGTTGCAAATGTTTTCACACAGCAAATGTTGATCTAGGACCAGCTGGAGATATTTGACGGGTGGCATGCCCGAGGGTGTGTTGTTGTGTTCTTGTCGTTGGAGTGACGTGCGTCCCCTCCGCCATCACATGCCAGGTCGCGCACGTATTGGCTGGTTCGGGGTGGGCAGTTATCGTTGCATGGATTGTACTGGTTGTGCTCTTCCTTTGTTACGACAAGTATTCTTATTGTATCTTCACCCCTTTCTTCCTTCTTCCCTCCTGTCGGCGTCGAGCCCAGGGGGGAATGCAGAGGGGGCGGGCCTTTTCAGAACGCCCAGAAGGCCTCGGGCCTCCTGAGAAGGTTTCTAAGCCATTCCCGAAGACTGAGCGACGGCTTCTCAGAAGGCTGGAGGGATTATGAAAAGGTCCCGCCGGCTTCTGAGAAGGCCTGCCCCTTAGTTGCCTCGATACGCCCGTTCTGATACGCAACACGTGCCGTGCTCAAAGCGTCCGTGTCAATACGTTCCGTGCTGGCTCAACGTCTTGGCCTACGTTTTGACGAAAGTGTCGCGTCAGACTTACGTTTTCAGTCTACGTGTTGAGCTCTGTATCAATACGTTGCGCGTTGCGTGCTGCGTTACTGGGGCAGCTAAGGGCCTGCCCCATCCCACCCTGGCCCCAGGCTCGCCGCCGAGCTTTAAGATCTTCGACGCTATGACGTTTTCGGTCCTGGCGCTCTTCCGCGGGCTCGGCCTCAAAGGGGGCCCGTCCTCGGGCCCTTTCGAGGCCATCTGAGGCAGATCTCCGATCTCCGCTCCGGGAACGCCAGACTCGAGTACAGGCCGGTCGTTTAAAGTAGGTATTTCTGGATTCCCTGATCCCAGTCTACTTCAAGCGCCTTCCTACTTCAAGAATCGGTATACCTTTGCTACGATATCTGGGAGGGCCTGGACCCCATCTACTGTATCCGCCGTCCTACTTCATGTTTTTACAGGCTTCTCCCGACCGACGTGTACGCCGGAACTCGGCTTCGCCGACGCCGACGCCGCCAATCCTTCTTCGGACTGGGTGTGGCGGGGGGGGAAGCACGGCGAGCTGGCCACGCGTAGAGGGGGGCAGGTGAGGGGGGGGGCTTCTTAGAAACCTCAGGAGGCCTGTGATTATTGTCCCCCCCCCCCGTCTCTTACGGCGGGGAGTAATCTGGCCCTTTCTCCTTCTCCTCCACCTCCTCCTCCTGTTCCTCCTCCTCCCCCTCCTCCTCAGTTTCCTGCTCCAGCTGCTGCTGCTCCTCCTCCTTCGTAACGTATGCGCTGGTGGTTCACTTCTGTACTGCATGCTGCTACACCTCCCTGATCAGGGCAACCCGATTGGGGATCTTTTCTGGATGGGCTGGTTGGTAAACGCGAGTCAAGTTTCGTGGTACGAGTCTGGGGCGACGACGTCGCCGTCGCCGTCGCTGCCTCGACGATGCCGACGCCGCCGTCGTCCTCGGCGCGCCAGACGCCTGCCCGCTCCCCGCCGTGCAGGCCGTGGTGCCGCATCCGCGGACAGCCGAGAACGGAGAGGATCGGGGAGGAGCTCGGAACTCGGCGGTCCGCGAAAAGATGCCACAGGGCATCGTTGCCAGGGGTGTGCACTACGCTGAAGACGCCGTGCCGACCAGGATCGGGGAGGAAGAAGGGGAGGATCGAGGAGGATCGAGGAGGTGGAGGTGGAGGAGGAGGAGGAGGAGGAGGAGGCCTGGAAATCAGCCCCAACACCGACACGGGTGGGTGTCTTCAACGGGGGAAGGTGACCCCAGAATTTCATTTTGGCGGTAGTACTTCGGCCACACATGAAGCCCAAAGATTGCCTCCATGACCGAGATCGGGGTCATCTTCCGTCGGCGGGGACAACCGCCGATATCGGTGTTGGTGCCACCTCTGAGCCACCCAGAGGAGGAGGTGCCCGCTTCCCCGCTCAGGCCGCGGCAGCGTCCGCGGCCAAGACCGACGAGCCCGCCGCAGCGTGAGTGTCGCCGCGCGGCGCGCGCGCGACGCGGGCAAAGGCCGTCCGTTCCCTGGGGCGGCGGCTACCAGCAGGCCCGGCGAGCACCGGGGCCTCGGCCGAGGTTGGGCCGATCCTCCTCGATCCCGGAGCCCCTCGAGTCGTGAAAAATCACGGCCTTGATAGGGCCACACGAGACCACACGAGAGGGGAGGGGTCGGGCGGGGCTAGGACGAGGATAATTCCGTTCCAGAGCGTTCCGGAACGCTCTGAGAAGGCCGTGGCGCCAGATACATCCTGCAGAGCCGCAGGGTCTCAGAGATTCTCGATTCTATCCTTACCCGATGTTACCCTCGTCCTGGTTTCGTCGGAGGGGGGGGGCATCCACCCCCCCCATCGCCCATGCATCGCCGAGCGGGGCTGGTGCCCCCCACCCCACCCAGGAGCGAGGAGCGTGCGGTTTCGCCGTCGGGGGCCTGTCGCCGACCTGTCGGCGCTGCATCGCCGGTTCCCTTCGTCGGGGTCTGGGACCCAGCCGGTGGTGGGGAGAGCGCCTCGCGCGGCGGCGCCCAGCAGACCAGCCACAGCTGCAGGGAGCTGTGGTCCCCGACCCCGGGGGGACCCACTGGAGTCGGCGCTGTTGACAGATGAGCGAACCGAAGACATGTCGCCCCTACAGCACACCGCACCCCGCGCCCTGGCTTTGCGATTGAGAGATGTCGCGCGCGGCAAGGGGCGACAGAAAGTATGGCGCGCCCCTCCGCTGCGCGCGTCCGTTTTCAGTTCTAAGGCATTTCTGGAGCTTGCCGAGGCCCCCGAGTTAGTGGTGCAAGCACTTTTCCGTCATCCGCATCGCCCTCGGGAAATCGTAGATTCGATGGGCCTTCTCGAAGGGGATCAGTTGCCATGAAGGGCAGGGGTCCTGAGGGAGTCGGGTCACGGACCACTTAGACTTTCCCCCAGCATCAGTTCCTCGTCTTGAGCCGTACAGTCGAGCATCTGCTTAAGAAGCCTCCTCCCGAAAAGGTGGGCCAGCGTGTCTTAACCAATTTGCCTGACAGATGGCCAGTTTCTTGAGCACGTTCGCCCTTCCAGCGCTAAGGAACAGAAGTTGGCCCAGGCTTGTTTTGAGAAACTTTCGGGAAGCTGGCCCAGGTGTCTGAAATGGTGATTTTCTTGATCGCATTTTCGGCTGTACTTTGACGGCCCGAGGGGCGCGAACACGGCGAAAGATCCGAGTGTCCTCTTCTCTCCATCCAGGACCCGCTGCCTCCACGCAGACAGGGCCCACAGCTCTCCATCCCTCGGCCGCGCGCAGGAGAGGCCCTTCGTCCGAGAGACCTCTGGTGCGCGGCCTCCGAAAGAAATACGTTAACGAGTTCGCCGAAGGCGAAGAGCTCACTGAAGGCATGAGCAGTCGTGGAAGGCAACACAGCTGCCACTGAGGGCCAAAATCGTCGCACCCAAACTTGCCTCACTGAAGGCAGACACGTGTGTCTTCTGAATATGCTGCCTTCCGATGTTTTTGTTTGCCTTCAGCGGCGCCAAGCCCAATGCACGCGGGCCGCCACTGCCGCACCGCACGAAATGACACGGCAGGCCGCGCACCAAAGGCCACCCCCCTGCTTGGGGCTGCTCCCCGCGTGCGGCCGCACTCGCTTGCGCGGACGGGTGACCCTTGGCCAGAGTGACCCATGGTGCGGGCCCACGGAGTCCCCCCAGCAATGGCTGGCGCGCTTGGAGTTGGCCTCCCCGCGGCCCCCATGAAGTCGCGCACCGAAGGTCTCCCCTGCCTGGGATCACTCTTGCGTGCAGCCGACGACCGCCGTAGCATGGTCGGAGATTTTCGGCCGCGCGGCCTTCCAGGCCTGCGTGCTGCCCTGACGTCCGGGGGGCAGGTCGGGGGACGCCAGCTGGCCGCCCGCGCCGATCCTGGCCGGGCCGATCCCAGGCCCAGGATCGGTGCAGGTGCTTCCCTGGCCGAGCCCGGCGGGCGCCAACGTCGAAGAAGCAGGTCGGATATTCGGAGGTCCGCGCTGACGTCTCGGATCGAGGCTGGACACCCTTGGCGGCTCCTCCAGAGAGAGCGGACCTTAGCCCCGCCGCCGGGCCCATTCCTCGATACGTGGGCGCCTCCCGGCGCCGGGAGGCGTTGGGAAAATCAGCTACGCGAGCTGATTCTCAAACCCCCCCTTTGCTATCCCCCCCTTTCGCCCGGCCCGAGATGGGGGTCCAGCACCGATCCCGGTAATCCGCGCGGACCTCGAAAAGTGTGTACGCTGATACAGCTCTGTTCTGATGCACCGATCCTGGGCCCACCCAGACCTCCGAGGTCGCGCACTCTGGACAGCGTGGCTCCCCAGATGTCTGGACGACTTCCCCAGGACCGGCTTTTCATCCGAGTCATCTTGTTGACAGCCCTGGAGGCCGGTGAGGGTGCCCCGGAGACAGAAGCTTGCTCGACACCTTCCACCGTGGATTGTGCGTCGCAGCAAGAGGAGGCCTGCGCAGGATGGGCTTGACCAGGATCGGCGAGGGGGTCAGCGGGCGTCCCCCGAACAGGGGCCGCCCCGAGCGTGGGCGAGGCTCTGCAGATAGGTGCCCCCGAGGGCTTTCTGAGCGGCGCGAGCCGTGCGCTTGCCGCACGCGCGCCGCGGCAACCAGCCCCGCCTCACTCGAGGGGGTGGGCCTGGTCACAGGGGGGCAGGACGAGGAGGATCTGTGGCAAGAGTTTGTCCGTAACCATCGCCTGGGGGGGGTCGATATTCGGGGACCTCGGCAGCCGGTGGATATGGATGTTTTCGGGCCCTGACGGGGGAAAGGGAATAACAAATACCCCAAAAAGCAATTGTGCGATCCAACGTGGGCACGAAACAGTGTGCTTCTAGCAGTCTACGTTGTGAAATATATGTTGTGCAATACATGTGGTGCAATGCATGTGGTACAATCGATGTGGTGCCATATATGCGGTGCATTCGATGTTGTGCAATATAGGTTGCACAATCGATGTTGCGAACATATATGCGACCATGTAAGTCGTGCAACCTATGCGGTGCAATATGTATGATGCAGCTTGTGGTGAGCAATAGATGTGGAGCAATATATGTGGTGCACTAGGTGGTGTGCACTATGTGTTGTGCGATATACGCTGTGCACCATACGGTGTGCAACCCTTATTGAGCAATCTATGTGGTGCAACATATGTGGCGCATAATCGATGATGTGGAGCCATATAATCTATGTGGTGCAGCCTATGCTGGGCAATCTATGTGGTACAATATATGTAGTGCAACCTACGCGGTACAGTCCTCGTTGCGGCGACGAGGCGGCGACGGAGCGGCGACGGCGGCAACGCAACAAGGCGGCGGACCCGACAAACGAGCCCAGACGACGGGCGGCGACGAGGCGGCGACGTGGCGGCGACGGTGGCAACAAGGCAGCGGACCCGACAGATGAGCCCAAACGACGGGCGGCGACGGTGCGGCGACGGCGGCAACAAGGCGGTGGACCTGACAAACCAGCCCAGCTCGTTAGAAGAATAGCCTGGCGAAAGACCCAAGCAGTTGCAGTTGTGGGAACCGCAGTTGTAAATACATTATTCGGTGGAGCCGCCTGTGGGGCCACGAAACGTGTTAGTCGTGTGCCGAATTGAGCGGGGGGTCATGCGGGCCCTGCCATTGGAGCCTTCGGTGGAGCTCCCTATGGGGCCACGGAACGTGTGAGTGGTGTGCCGAAATGGGTGGTGGCGAGGCATGCGGGCCCTGCCACTGAAGCCTTCGGTGGAGCTCCCTATGTGGCCACGAAACGCGTGAGGGGTTTCCCGAAACTCGTTGTGGGGAGGCACGCGGGCCATGCAATCGGGGTATCCGGTCGAGCTCCCTATGGAGCCACGAAATGTGTGAGGGGTGTGCCGAATTTGGTGGTGAGGACGCATGCGGGCCTTGCAACTGAGGCCTTCGGTGGAGCTCCATATGGGGCCACGAAACGTGCGAGGGGTGTGCCGAGATGGGTGGTGGCGCGGCATCCGTGCCCTTCCACTGAGGCCTTCGGTTGAGCTCCTTATGTGTGCCGAAATGGGTGGTGGGGCGGCATGCGGGCCCTGCCATTGGGGCCTTCGGTGGAACCCCCTAGGGGCCACGAAACGTACGATGGGTGTGCGGAATTGATGGGGAAGCATGCGGGCCATGCCACTGAGGCCTTCGGTGGAGCTCCCCATGGGGCCACGAAACGTGTAAAAGGTGTGCCGACCTGGGTGTGGCGGACGCATGCGGGCGGTGGAATTGGGACCTCCGATGGCGGCCCCCTATGCGCCCCCTTATGGGGTGTACTGAAATTGGTGTGGCGGACGCATGCGGGCGGTGGCATTGGTGCTTTCGACGAAGCTCCCTATGGGGCCACGAAACGTGTGAGGGGTGTACTGAAATTGGTGTGGCGGACGCATGCGGACGGTGGCATTGGGGCCTTCGGTGGAGCTCCTTTTGGGACCACGAACCGTGTGAGGGGTGATGGGTGCGGCGGACGCATGCGGGCAGTGGCATTGGGGCCTTCCGTTGCGCTCATTGTGGGGCCACGAAACGTGTGAGGGTTGTGCCGAAATGGGTGTGGCGGGCTCATGCTGGCGGTGGCACTGAGGCCTTCGGTGGAGCTCCCCATGAGGCCACGAAACGTGTAAGGCGTGTTCCGACATGTGTGGCGGACGCACGCGGGCGATGATATTGGGGCCTTCGGTAGAGCTCCCATGGAGACACGAACCGTGTGAGGGGTGCGCCGACATGGGTGTGGCGGACGCATGCCGGCGGTGGCATTGGAGCATTCGGTGGCGCCCCCGTATGGGGTCTCAACGTGTGAGGGGTGCGCCGACGTGTGTGGCGGACGCATGCGGGCGGTGGCATTGGTGCCTTCGACGGAGCTCCCTATGGGGACACGAACCGTTTGAGGGGTGCGCCGACATGGGTGTGGCGGACGCATGCCGGCGGTGGCATTGGAGCATTCGGTGGCGCCCCCGTATGGGGTCACAACGTGTGA